GTTTATTGCCATCCAGCAAGCGGAACTTTCTTCCTAAATGCATGGAAAGTATTGGCGACAACTGCCTCGCTCCTTGTAATTTATGCAAATGGCCTCTATAATTAGCTGTAATTTCAAGGCATGGCACAGTGCTTCAAACGCTCCTCAGCAAGGAAATGCCCCGACGGTAATTCTACAGCATTAACTTTATTTACTCCACCTGTGTGGTCTCTGTGCTAGTGAGGCCTGAGTAAAGAGATGATGCCGGCTCTCTTCCTGAAGATGATCCTAAGCTGGGGGCAAGCCCCTACCTGTCCCCAGGGAACCATGGCCTTGAAAAAAAAAAATTTTTTTTGCTTCTGCCCTAAAAAAAACAAAAAAACCACATTCACGTTTTTTGTAGCTAGTCCTTAGGATGAAAAACTAAGTTTTTGCCCCCCAGATAGATATATAGGATAAAGTGAATTCTTCCTTTCTTTTCTCAATAATTCTAAATAAAGATGCTTCAGACAGAAGTTGTGGCTGTTTAGTAGTTCTGAGGCTTAACATATCTTTTAAATAATACATCATGACTGCAATATATTCTGCAATGTGAAAGCCCGTTTATTTTGAGAACAGTTTTAGATTTGTTGAAGTTGTCCTACTTTTTGCCAGATGTGGTGCTACCTATGATGTTTTTCTATGATGCACTTTTTTCATAGTGTTTATAGAAATGAAAACTGTGCTGATAAATAAAATAAATAAATAAATAAAATAAACTTTATTGTCATTGTATGTGTATACACAGTGTACACATGCAATGAAATTTACTTGACACCCACACACATATTCCCCAAACACACTCCCACCCACCACAATTCCCCACCCCTAAGACTACCCAACATCCACACAACAGACCAAGTAATACTGTCCAACAGTTCACTGATGGTGGCCCTTCTCTAATTAGAATTTTAATGTGATACTCGTGCCTTAATGAACAGGTGAAAAGAGCTACAAGATACGTGGATACCCATCTATGAATGTTCAACTTGTATTCATAGTACATTCTTAATAAAACCTTTGTCCTCATAGGTAGTACTATACCAATGTTTTCAGATAAATGATTGGTCAATAACTAGTCAGTGGCAAGACCAATACATCTATTAACCAGTAATTTAAGAGAGGAGGTCTGATCGCAGCTTCTTCCTTCCCAGGATATATTTCTGGACACACATTGCAGGATTCGTGTTCTTAATTTCCCCCAAAATGTAGTCAAGCATTTTGTTTTTTTCATACATTTTTGTTGCTTCTAGCAGGAAAACAATTGTTTTCAGAAATCAAAATGTTTTGTATAATTACCGGAGATGCCAAGATGATATTTATGCAATCTGCAAGTGAAGAATGGATTCCTACTATTTGGTAGATAGGATCATACATGAGAAAATCCACATATTTTGATATGCAAAGCCAACTTGAACTGGAATCCCCCACAGTCCTTTCGGCAAGTGATACTGGGATGTCAGTAGGTGGTGCTATTGTCAATAGGACTAAGAGCACTTTCCAAATTATATAAAAGGCCAAAGGTTTGTGTATTCAAAAATACACAAACTTCATAAATAAGAAATTTACTACCAGATGTTTGGCTTCCAGTGCAAAAATGTTTGTATTTCTTATAGCAGTGATAATAGGGAGAAAAGTATATATAGCTATGTCTAGTGAAAGGGAAAAGGAAGATGATGGCCAGGATTTGTATAGTTCCATGCTTCTCATAATTAGTTAAAACAGAAAAATAATTGTATAATAAACAGAATAAAAGTAAACAGACATGATTAATTTACTTCATTTATTTCAGGTATAGATACCAGGTTTCTTTATACAGAATGCCCAAAGACCTACCCTATAACTAAAGCTCACATCATTTATAACATCATTGGATATATAGGCAGTCCTTGAGATACGACTTTAATGCAGCCTGCCCATTAGGGCACATGTCATGGCAGCCATTAAGCAAAATGGCTTCCCTTCACAACGCTCACCCCTACTCTTCTTGATGCAGTTATTAAACAAACATGTGGGCCACTAAACACAGCATAGGTTGCCTCAGGGATTGGGGAGGCACATTGCAGGCCTAGGACCACCTGCCCCCAGCCTTCCCAGATCCAAAGATCTATAAAAGGTCATTCCAATGAGTGATGGATATGTGGGGAGCAGGCCTAAGCACTGCCGGGTCCTGCTGGGGCAGCATGTGAGAGACAGAAACAAGAGGGCGCTGTGTCATTCTTATAGTTGGTCATAAAGGCAGATGACCATGGGGCCACTGCAGCCATCATAACTTTGAAATGAGATTATAAATAGTTATTGGGTGGATGGGGGAGTATCTTTCTTAAATTTGAATGGCCATTAGTAACTGGTTGTATCTCGAGGACTACCTATATTCAGGAAAGTAAATTCGCATTCTGCTTTAAGCTTTTTTGTCTCATTTGTGAACAGATATAAAATACTTATGCATCTACACCACTGTTAATGACACTAATGAAGAAAATGGAGATCTTTGCAAAAAAAAAGGTGTTCACAAAAGTATTTGAATCTATATTTCATAGCTGGTAAATAAAATTATTTCACGTTGGGCAGAATGAATAAACTCGGCCTCTGCATATGCCAAAAGCTTGTACTTCCAACTTTCTGTAACAGTGTAAATGGTATCAGTACTCATGGATGCTTCTGTTTCATGTTCTATACAGATAAATACGGGCTAGTGCATGAATTGAGCTTAATGAAACCGGAGGTGAAGGATGAAGACATAAATATTTCAGGAGTTATGATTTTTTACATCACCTTTCTATGATCTTCCACAGCCAGTCAGTTGGTCAGAGTTTACAAAATCTGTTTATTTTGCCTCAGGCTTTTTTCTTTGGAATGTTGATTGCTCTCAGTGTTTTTTAACCATAAGTAGCTACATTTTGTCTCTAAAAAAACTATCCAAATTAACCAATTTTTTTCCTTTTTCTTGCTTTAATATTAGCCTCAGTTTATTATTCAATAGAGAAATTTTACATATTATTTTTAAAATTCGTATTCTTCAATCCTTCTCATCCCATTTAAATCCTATTATCAGTCTAGTCACTCTATGCATCTGATGAAAAAAAATGCAGCTCATCAAATCTTATGCCTTTTAATATCATTTGATACTCAGAAAAGGTGCTACAGATTCCTGTTTTCTTGCGTTCGAAATCAGATTTTCTCAGAACCTGAGAAGGATTAGAATTATACTACCAATTTATCTAGTTATTTGCTAAATTTATATAGCTACCCATTTCACCTACATGACTCTGAGCAGTATATACAAAGTTAAATAATACAAATAAACTTTGACACGTATCTTAAGCAACTGATAGATTTATGCACCCAAAGCATATTATTTAATTTTAGGAAGAGGATATAGACCAATGCTGATTGCAGCACTGGGCACCATAAGGATTGCAGCACCATAAGGAGTTTTTGAAAATTGAGCAGTCTTGACTGTTGGGAGCTGTGAGGACAGAACTAGTCTTTCAGTTTCTGGCCCAGTGTCTTTAATCACTACATAAAACTGGCATTTATCTCATGATTAGTAATTTATAACCAAATCTAATGCATATATTAGTGTAGTTGTGTTAGCTGATGCACTTCTGTCTTATTTTCTGTCCTATTACAAACAAATACATACATTTCACAATATTATAAAATACCTTATTTCTTTTCTAAGCCTGATGTAGTTCTTCCTTTTCTGTCAAGCTCTCATATTCAGTTAAAAAAAAACTTATGGAAGCTTTTGAGTTATGTGTTACTGTATTTTTATGTACATGTCCAGACTAAAATGGAAAAATAAACAGATGTCTACTTTGTCAAGGAAAGGAATCAAAATATGATACTCACAGATAGGAATGATGCATATTTGGAATTGGGAGTGAATTCACTTAGTTAACCACCCTATATATTTTAAGTAACCTTTTTTTGATGCGCTATGTATCTTCATTTATATATTTTCATGGACTTGTCATACAATATGTGGATATGGCTAGTGATACCCTTTCTATGTTCACACAACCTTCTGAGGCAATGTTTGCTTAACTATGATTTATTGAATAAACTACAATCATGCTAAACTACAAACCAAAAGATATCTTGGTTGAGAGAACCTGGATTTCATTTCTGAGGTTGAATGTAGTTTAACGCTGTTAGTATAATATATAGTGGAATTACATAGGTCAACTGACCTATTTACACTTGTCTCTTTAGTTAAAATCTTAAAACAAGCTGTGTGACCCCATGGTATCTGCTCTTTGGGTGTTACAAAACCAGAATTTGCAATTTCTGCAAGCTAACACATTATAGATGGTGTTAGGTTAAGGGCTGTGTGCAATGGGAGTATATTTCTGATTTTCCTTTTTGTGGGAATCCAAGTAGTTCAATGGAAACATTTTACCAGTTGCTGTTCGGGTAAGAAGATCATATTCTCCTGGAACAAAAGTTTAGCTTTATTTTTTTTAGCAAATGTTTCTGTTTAGGGACAGGGGAGTTAAAACATGAATCTAACTTAGTTCCTAAATATATATAGTTTAGGCAAACGGCAACTGGGTTACAGACTAGTGAAAACGGACTCGTAACTGTAGCGGAGAACCTGAGCGTGCCGTAGGTGAATATGAGAATTGTACGCGCGTAACGATCGGGCTTCGAAGAGTAAAATGGGATGGAGTGCATACAGCATCTGCAGCCAAGCGTTATTTCCCGGGATCAGGGCCAGTTGCTGAGTTGAGCCAAGTTGAGTAAAAGATGCGGATCTTTCAAAGGGGTTCCTATTGCTTCCCGACCGAGAGCGTATATGCAAGCGCATTGTCTAGTTATGCTAGCCTTCAGAGAGAGGAGCGTGCGCGTTTTGTTTCTCTACGTAGGATCCACTGCCAAGGCACTTGTCCATACTTGGAAGGGTTAAACCCATCAGGTACTGGGTGGGGCTGAGGGGCGTGACTTGAATTTACTCCGTCCTTCCCAGCTGTGAAGGCTTGAACCAGTCACTCTTAGAGTAGCTCTTAACTAACTTGCATATACCTGTCTAGCTTCCCTCGGTCACGGTCCCTCGCTCTGGGTTCCCCGAGGACTGCCTCATTTCTTCGGATTCTGGATTTTGCTTTGGAGACCGCAACACGTTTTCCTGACAAATCAATGTGGAAAAACCTGCTGGAAGACCGCTGCTTCCACCAGCAAGTTTAAACCAGTATGTAACTCAATTTCTTTTTCCTCTCGGTTTCTTTTCCTTGCCTTTTCTTTCGTGCTAGAAAACAAGTTCGCATTCAAAGATGCTGAACTTGTGGAAGAGTTAAGCTGCTGTATAAAGTAAAGACAGGGACTTGCACAACGAAGATTACAGGTGGATAAACGATAAGAACGTTCGTTTTGGCCTCTACTCTTTCGTTACAAATTGTCTACACTTTTGGCAGATACTTCAGTTTGGAGTTCCTTGTCGTGACCTTTATTCCCAGTATAAAAAAAACTTCTAAAAAATATAGAAATTATATTTTTATTTTGTGAGATACTCAGAACAATGGAGTAAATTAAATTTATGCGCACGTTTTGCTTGAGCACAAATCCCGTTGAATGGAGTATGGCTTCTCACTGAGAAAGCATAGATGCGTTTTCCAATTAAAATAACTGAAAGGAATAATGATTACAGAGAAAGCGGGCTTTGTGTAATTAGAGTCAGCTGTATTAGGAAAGTAATATAAACAATCACTTTTCTTTATATTTCAGTATGAAAGTATTATTTTTGTCAGTTTGAATTTAATCTAATATTCTCCAGGTAAGTATATAATGAATTATAGTCTTATTGGGCTGTACATTTAGTTGCATAAAAGTGATTTAATATTTGTATAATCTCAGAATACAGCTCAGATTTAAAATATTAAACATTGCTGAAAAAAAGACAATGACCAATAATGTACTGCTGGATAGTGTAAGGAGATGATTAATAAGCTTGTTTTGAAACTCGCATTTCAAACCCCCAAAAGATCTGGGTAGCACTTGACTAGGTGTCAATATGTTTCAAAGTTAATAACATTTAAAGCATCACTAAAGTAATAAAGTGCTTAGTGCAAGCATAAGTCCAGCAGGCAGATGCAACAAAACCCTCACTTTGAAAATGACAATATTTAAGAATTATATTGATATCAGTATAGAAGTATTGATATAATATATGATTAAATATGATCAATATAGAAATATTGATATCACTATTGATATAGATAGATCTTGATTCAGAATGATGTAGATTTTATGAATGAATTTGGGTTCTTCCTTTAAAATAAGAAATCAGTGTTCAAAATTACATTTAAAAGGAGAGGGAATTAGATTTGATTTATGGCTTGATTTAATTACTGTCCCTAGCTCAAGGCCAATGATAAAACATAATCTCAAACTGGAGAACATGGCAGCTGTTCTCTGGTACATGCAGTTTTTCATTATAAGAAATGGAACTAGGCTGCAGGTGGTTTTTACATTGATATTATTGGTGATTCTCTTTCATTGTATTATTAAAAGTATTGTGATCTTAGGAACTGGTTTCTGACATAGTGTCTGGCTTTGGAATTGGGAAAATTCACCTACTATTAGGATTGTGTTTGCATTATCAAGATTTATATCCTAATAATCTTGCAACTTCACAAATTATATTAATTGGACCACCCTTTAAAAATACTTGGTGATATATCGCCAAATGTAATTTGTGGGTGTGAGAAACAGATATTTGAAAATAGTGTATTATGGAAAGAGGATTCACTATGGTTCTCAATTGAATATGCATACATGACCAATACAAGGTTAATATTCTGTATTGTATAAAATAATACTGAGGCACTTTTTTGCATAATAAATGCTCTGTGGAAAGCCTTTTATTAAATCTCTGCATTAGGGCTAAAATAATTATGACTGGGTGATTGATAAACAATTACCATCCAAAGATGCTGGGCTTTCTTGTTTTTTTTCCCTTAAAAATGTTTAAAAAGGTTTTTGAAGCAAAAGCAAGAAAGTTCAGATGCTTTTTGGAACAATGGAACAACTATGACCTGGATTGAGAATCTCCATAGACCATTACTATTCAAGATATATCAAAAAGGTGCAAATGCTTTCATAAGGACAGAGAGATGAGAAATAGGGAGATCTTTTTTTTCTTTTGAATTATGGAAATCCAACTTAAGTGATTTGCATCACTGCACCACTGAAACCATAGCTAGGTCAAAGATATATCAGAATAATAATTAAAAAACCTAGACACAGTTAATGTTGAGTACTCATGGAGAAGACAGTTTGTACTGTTATTTAACTTCCATTTACCTCAGGCACAATGGGTAATGAAAGGAAGTGGGAATTTATACATTCAGGTAATATATTAGATCAACTGAAGGCTAACAAGCTACCAAGTGTATAGGTTTCCAGTTTTCCAAAAATTTATTGTCATACATTTTTCATGAATTATTAACCATTCATAAAAAAGGAGAAAAAAACATTTTTTTCCTTTTCATTTTTCTAATTATTTCATCATCTTGGATCACGAAGCAGAAATTTGCAAAAAAAATTTTTTTTGCTGGTTCGTAAACCATTATTGCTGTAATGGTTCAATGCAAAATTTCCATTGTTTCCCATCTATCTTTGGCTGAAAACTTCCTAGCAGATGTGCCCATGCATTCATCCTGTTTGTTGTCCTGACATTTCCTTCATGGAGCTCTGCATGAGGCTGCCTGAAGTGTCCTCTTTGCTTTCTTTGCATTGCGGTACGGCTGCTGGAGTGAAGAGAAATCAAGAAAATTGAGAGCCATTGTGCATGTTGATTCTCAGTGGGGTACCTATAAAATATTTACTTATATTACAACTGTGATCAGTATAGATTTGTAGGCAACCTACGAAATCATTTGTGGGGAGATGGCAATGGCTATGGTTGAGTAATTATTGTACATCCAAAAGGGTATGTTTCTTTGTAGTGAGTGAAGCAAATCTTCAGATAGTCATGCCATGAGTGAAGGCCTGTCATCTTCTATTTTTAATTTTATCCCCCGTTTTTTTAAAAAACAAACTTGTTACTTGTCGGAAACCATACACGATCCCATCAAGGATGCTTTGTGTGTATTATTTTTATTTATTTATTAAATCTATATGTTGCGCATCTTTCTACCATCCAATTTTATAAACATATTCTAATGTTTAATCAGACCAGCAGTATTTATCTATAGAGCATTCAAAGACTGGAAGACCAGTTGTTTACTTTTGCAAACAAGCTGAACTAGATATTTCGTGACTCACTGTTCACTTTTTAAATTGCAAGTTACGCCAATTTTCTTTGAATAAAAGTTTTTCTTGAAATGTATCCATTAATTTGTATTAGACTAACAAACCAACCCCCAGATTAACATTGAACTAACTAAGGAAAAACCTGCCTCACATAGAAACCCTACTAGAGTACTTTCTGATGATTCTTTAGAAAACTTGATAAGAAGTTCTACTACATATATATTTTTCTTCATGTTAATATTAAACCAGTAACAACTCTGTTGGTGTGGAACATTGTTCACCTTGGTGATGAATGATTTCCCCTTTCCTTAAACTTTTCAAGAATTTAATATAGACTTACCTGGAAATAATCCTATTGATCTTAAGTTCTGAGGAAGAGTTTAGAGCTGAATTGTATGAGAGTCCCAGTGATTAGAATTAAGATATGGAATAGGTTGTTGGATTTTATGCATATATCCACTAGGGATTTACTTTCTAATCTTTAGCAAGTCACATTTTCTTAGCAATCTCTAAGAATAGTTGAACAAAAATGGAAAAATTAGTTTAGTGTATTAAAACATATTGCTATCACATAAATTTTGTACTTCTTCAGTTGGTTTTGTGCTCTAATCAGTATGATGATATGGTATTATGCAACAAGTTGCAGGTGTTCACAGTCCAGTGGCATTTTCACTGTGTTGGAGAAGCGAAACTAAAATTGAAAGAAGGTGAGTTGTTCATTTAGGGAACTTTCCATAATTGTAGATATTGCATTATAGCATTCAGAATTAATCGATTCGTAAAGCAAAGCTGTCCATGATACAAGAGAATTCTGATTAGCTTCTTTCATGTGCGCACACACACACACACACACACACACACACTCTCACACTATACACATACACATACATATACACATACAGAATGTATATTTAGCCATAGAAGCAAATTTGATCAGTCATTTGGAAGCAAAAAACATTTTCATCATTGGGCCATTTTCACAGCCAAAATCAGACTCTGCTATAGGTACCATCCACATTAGCACTTCCACATATAATATTATTATAATTCCACATATAATATTAGCTACTTCTGAATAAACCTTGAGTGAAAATGGAGTGTGTGTGTGTGGGAGTGTCTATTACCCATTCCAGTATAAAATTCAAATGGATTTAAAAGGAAAAGAGTTTCTTTCTCTTTGACAGACAGCTTAAATCTCACAATAATATTTTTCTTTGTTTTTTGAAATTTTTGTAATACATTTGCAAACATATTTTAAGCATGCATAAAGAACAATTTAATACATAATGTTGAAGTCAAGAAGTATTTAGTATTAGTTTTATGCATATTTAGTAATCCAGAAACATGACCCACTTTTTAAGAGATATTTTTTCCCATTCCAAAGCAATTTCTTTTCATTTCCATTAATGATAAAACAATTGTTTTCTAAGCCTTAAGAATCATAGTTGTCATTGCTATATAGCTCACATCTTTCATATGCTTAATATGCTTTTATTCAATAATGCCCTTTTAAAATAAATTGTCCAAAGTTATATTTTGAAACTATGTAATAAAAATTGGGCCAATTGGCATGTTTAGCAAAATCAAGATACATGTATGATGGACAAATGTTTGAGGTTGGTTCACTCATCAAAGCAATGGGGAAAAAGTAATCTGCACAGAGTTTGGCCCACTACATTGATGTGGTTTATCATGTACTATATCTAAATGTATTGCATTGTCACGTTTCTAAAACTGATCTAAACATTTCAAATGGAGATTGCAATTGCTTGGGTGATTTAAAACATTAATTCTTTGATCCCAATGCCAGTTGCTAGACACGCAAGTTTTTGGCCAAATAGATTTTTGTATGTACCAGTTTGGTCATATGGTTAATGCTTTGGATGCTTTTTACAGTTATTTTTATAACTGCGTAAGTGAGGATGCTTTAAGGAAAGA